CAGAGGGGACAGGTGTTTATGGGGACGCAGAGGGGACAGGTGTTTACAGGGACGCAGAGGGGACAGAGGTTTACGGGGACGCAGAGGGGACAGGTGTTTACAGGGGGACAGGTGTTTACGGGGACGCAGAGGGGACAGAGGTTTACAGGGACGCAGAGGGGACAGGTGTTTACGGGGACGCAGAGGGGACAGAGGTTTACAGGGATGCAGAGGGGACAGGTGTTTACGGGGACGCAGAGGGGACAGAGGTTTACGGGGACGCAGAGGGGACAGGTGTTTACGGGGACGCAGAGGGGACAGAGGTTTACAAGGAAGCTGGGACGACAGCTAAGACTCAGGTTTCTGTTCCAAGGCAACAGGAGGTTGTGTTGGCAGCAGGTTAAAATCAATAACTTAGATTAAAAGTGGACGCCTCATCAGGAGGTTACTCAGGTGTGCCGCTGTCATGGAACTTGAGGGTCAACTGAGCTCAGAGGTCTCTGTTTGGAGAAATAGGAATCAAAGCTTCTCAGGAAGCCCAAACCCTGTTGCTATGGTAATGTCCTAATAAGGAGTTGTCCCCTCCCACTCCAGCAGGTACTGCACTGTCCCCTGAGGCGTGACCCGGCGAGCCAGCACCTGGTACCGTTCACCGTTGGTCAGTCGGCCCGCCACGCCAAAGTATGAGGAGATGGAGGAGTGCAGGTGGGAGGAGTCAGAGTGAATCTGGGAGGGATCTGATAGGAGGTGGGCGGGGTCTGTTGGCAAGTGGGTGTGTTCTCGGTCCTCCATGATCCCGGGAGGCTCCTCCCCTCCAAGCTCTTCTCCCGCCTCACTGCGATTGGCCCACTGGCTGTAGCTGTTGCTTGGCAACTTCCTCTTCCTACTGCCCACCCTCCTCCTGAGAACACAGAGGTCAAAGGTCAGGCAGGTGAGTCAGACAGATGAGACCGTTGCTCAGACAGGTAACAGGTAAATGTTCTGCTCCTGACAGAAGACCAAACTCTGTGAGGTGAGTCTCGCTAAAGATAAATCCTCGAACTTTCTAAACGACTTCAGGAACTTCATTGTAGAACCTTTATCCTGTTGAGGTTGTGAGTGTTTTAATGGAAACTAATCAACGACCTTTAGAACCGTAACAGGGTGACGTGAACCTCATGTTAAGGCTGTTTCATGAAGCTTCAGGACCAAAGATGTACAAAACATCCTAAAGGTCATCTAGAGCCTTGAAGACCTCTAGAGCAGTATTTTGGCCTTGTAGAACCTCCTCAGATCTCTTTAAAACGTTATGGTCACCTAGAACCCACTGTGACACTTCGGCAGTGATGCCTTAATCCTCCCGAAAAATAGAAATATAATTTTCCACATAGCTCAGCTTTAAAACCAGTTTCCACGACCGAAGGGAAGATAACCTGGAACCTTCCTGTAAAGCTCTAGAACAGTGCTTCAGAACAGTTGTAGACCCTTCCCAGGAATTTGTAAAACCATATCAAGGTAATCTAGTACCATCCCGAAGACCTTGAGAACACGGTATTAAATTTGTAGAACCTCCTCAGATTTCTCTAAAACTTTATCACGGTCATCTATAAGCCACCGATACCTTCCTCAGTGATCCTTTGTTCCCTCTGAAGAACACCTACAACCATCCAGCAGATCTCTACAACAGTGCATCAGAATTGCAGAACCTCCAAAGGCGTCTGGGGGTTACCTGAAGTGGTAGGAGGTGCTGGTCGTAGCAGAACCTGCAGTGGAGACATCGGTGGAGTCCTGATCGATACTGACAGTTCTACTGGAGCTGCTGAAGAAGAGCAGAACCGTCACATACTGTTCTGACAGCGTTACTGATCGATATTGGAGGATTGATCTCACCTCTTGAGGCTCTGCAGCTCGTCCAGGGTGAAGTCGAAGATGTTGGCCATGTGGTGGTTGGAGGACCAGCTGCAGGACAACTCGTTCTGCAAACGGACAGACGCATCAGCGCCATTTTAACACCACACTTTAAAAACCACAGAAGAAGAGTCTTACGCTGGGAATGGCGTCTTCGAGCAGCCACTTGGACTTCCTCTTCTTCCTCTCAGACGAGCCACTGCACACAGACACACACAACAGATTTAGTTTAATTTAACTTTCTCTCACAGAGCGGCTCAGACTACTTCCTGGTTGAACCAGATGACTTTGTCCTGTTCAGGGCCACGAACTGGAAAAACTACAGGTTGAAGGAGTAGAAGATAACAATAATAAAACAGTTCTCCAGGTAAATTACTACCTGGCTGTGGTCTTCTTACGGCCCCGCCCACCATCGATCTGAGCGCGCTCAGGAAACAGCTTGGAGGGGGGGTTAGGAGGAACTCGGGTCCTTAGACGAAAGATGCACTTCCTCTTCTTAATCTCCTTCCCACACAGAAACCTGAACACATCCAGAAGTTGACGTGTTGAACAAACATCCAGATGTTGACGTGTTGAACGCCGATTAAAAAGTGTACCAACTGGTTCTTACTTGCTCTTGTATTTATTCAGAGCGTCCAGCAGGTGCTGCCCCCTCTCTGCTGGAGGAGTGTTGGACAGCTGAGAAGCACAAACAGTTAGACCCACGAAAATGTTCAGCAGCACAAACTGTATCAGACCTGCAAACTAAAGGCTGCTTTCAGGCTTCTGCTTCAGTCCGGTTCTGTTACCTTTCCGAGCTGCAGATGCTCCCAGTTGGCTGAAACGAAGGCGAGGATCTCGTCCAGCTCAAAGTATTTCTTCTTGCTGCTGACCGACAGGTTGTAGAGAACCAAGTGAACCACGTCCACCCACCTGAGAGACAGCCGGCGGACGTACTCTGAGCCTTTGTTACACACCGAGCAGAGGAACAGGTAGAACCTGAGCGGCGGGAGCAGAGAGAACGTCAGGGCGTGAAACCAAACAGAGCGTCAGTGGTGGCGAGAGGACGGCGAGGACGTCACCTGTCTCCGAACATCATGGACTCCTGCAGGCACTGCGTGCACGCTTCATGGAACCACTGCTGACACCTGAAACACTGCAGCATCTTCAGGTACCACCTGCACACACACACCACCGTCAGCATCATCATCCAGGTAACAGCCCACCTGCAGCGCTGCCATTGGTCCTCTTACTCTCCGGGGCCGCCGCAGTAGCAGTAACACTGCTGCTGATTGGTCCGGTGCTGAGAGTCCCAGTCTAGAGAGTCCACGTCGTACGGCAGAACCTGCTTCATGGCCGACAGTGCCTTCGCTATCGGACCTTTCTTCAGGGCGCCACCTTTCTGTGGGAGGACAGAAAGAGAGAGCGAGAGAGAGACGGGTCAGAGAGAGAGACGGGCTTGGGCTCCGTCATACATGTTTGTAACGTAAACTGACACAACTAGCTGATCAATGAATTGGTAAAGTGACAGATAATCAAGTGTTGATCAATATGGTGAAATCGAGGCCTCCTGCTGTGATCTGCGATTTACCCGAACAGCCAGAGCGAAGACACAACGTCTGCAGAACCACGGACTGAGACTGCTGCTGCCCTCTACAGGAGGGACGTGGCACTGCTGGTGGAAACCTGCCACACAGGTGACAGGTGTACACAGAGTCACACTCCAAACATCAGCCTACAATGAGTCTGGTGCTGTTAGCTACTAGCAGCAGGCACAATGTGATCGAGGAACTGATTGATCCATGGCTCACCGATGCCACACTTCCCACAGATCAGGATCAGGTTGTTTGATTGGCTGTCAGAGTTTGGCCCCGCCTCCCGGCATACAGAGCACTGAGGCTCCTCCCCCGGCACGCCAGCTGCAATGTGATTGGACAGAAGCAGGTGATTGACAGAATAAGACAAACACACTACTGTCTGTCTCCCCGTCTGTCTCTCCGTCCACCCGCCTCTCTCCCCGTCCACCCGTCTGTCTCCCTGTCCACCTGTTTGTCTCCTAGTCCACCCGTCTGTCTCCCCGTCTGTCTCTCAGCCCACCCGCCTCTCTCCCCGTCCACCCGTCTGTCTCCCCGTCCACCTGTTTGTCTCCCCGTCTGTCTCTCAGCCCACACGCCTCTCTCCGTCCACCCGTCTGTCCCCCCGTCCACCTGTCTGTCTCTCCGCCCATCCATCTGTCTCCCCGTCCCCCCGTCTGTCTCCCTGTCCACCTGTTTGTCTCTCCGCCCACCCGTTTGTCCCCCCGTCCATCCATCTGTCTCTCCGCCCATCCATCTGTCTCCCCGTCCACCCGCCTTTCTCCCCGTCCACCCGTCTGTCTCTCCGTCCACCCGTCTGTCTCTCCGTCCACCCGTCTGTCTCCCTGTCCACCCGTCTGTCTCTCTGTCCACCCGTCTGCCTCCCCGTCCACCCGTCTGTCTCTCCGTCCACCCGTCTGTCTCTCCGTCCACCCGTCTGTCTCTCCGTCCACCTGTCCTTTACCGTGTTGGATGTCCTTCCAGAGGACCCAGAACTTGGAGTTGTCTTCAAACGTGACGAAGCAGCTCTGTCTGGGAGGGCTCACCTGTCCATCAATCAGAAAGCAGACAATTACACTAATCAGAGCGTAGAGAATCATTACTGCTGGTAACCTGTTAGCATCAGTACCGTTGCTATGGTTACCTGCAGGTGAACCTTACCCGCTGTATTTTGCCCACGTAGTAGAGTCCATCTGACCAATGACAGAGGACGAACTGTCCCACACTCAGACTGGACTCCGCCCTCTCGTCCTCTTCCAGGCCCCGCCCCCGCAGACATGACCCGCCCCCTGGAGAAACCTCAGGCTCCACCCCACAGAAGGCTTCAATCAGGTCCTCAAACATCCTGAAGTAGCTGACAGACATAAAACAGACAGACAGTGAGACAGACAGATATTTGCTGGATTTTTACATATCTGAGCAGCACTGCTCCCCATCACATGCTTAACTAACCAACTAACCAGGTTAACCGCAGGGTCATAGCAATTTAACTAACAGGCTGATGCCTAACCAACTTACATTCTGGAGACTTGTTCACTGACACAGTGATGGTAACGGTCTGCTGTTAACCACCCACACTAACTGTTTACAAACTGTCTGATGAACGGGTTAGATGAACTAACAGGTTCGACTGAACTAACGGGTTAGACGAAACAAACGGGTCAAATGAACTAACGGGTTCGACTGAACTAACGGGTTAGATAAACTAACGGTTTAGATGAACTAACAGGAAACTAACCGGAGCAGCAGCGGGTTGTTACAGAAATCACAGCCGCCTCACCTCTTCCTGTCCGGGCTTCGTCTCTCCTCTCCTCCGGTCCTCCGGTGAACAAACCACCGCCTGCACCGGGACCAACGGACCGACCGACGGATAGACAGACGGTGTGTGTGTCGGTGCCTCCGGTCCTTTAGCCGTTGTCCGTTTCTCTGTCCGTGTCTCTGTCTCCGTTTCGTGGCGCTAAACTTCAAACTTCTACCGTCGCCATTTTTTTCACTTTTCCCGCGAATCACGTTGGCGTAACTCGTCATCAGCGCCGTGCATATGTCGTCATCACGCACGGGCAGAAATCGCTGCGCCGCTTCGTGTCACCGCCCCATTCAAAACTCCGTTGACTTTTCCAGAGATTTTGCCAGCCCGCTTTTATCTGTGAAACTGTTTTTGTTTGTTTGTTTGTTTTTTAATCTTCAGTTTTGTATTGGATCGAACTACAGGCTCAGCTGTGAACGAAAACATTTCAAGGCTACATCTTTTAAAATGAACAGTTTTTACAAATGTCCACACCTGTGCGGTCCTGTGGTGTACCTGTGCCATGGTGCTCCTCACAAACCTTTTCCTGCTGCTCTGTTCATAAAACCAACTGTGAGTTTAAATATATTTTTCTTTTGTTCATTAATACTTAAAAATGCAATATTAGAAAAATGCTCACTTGTAGAAAACCAGCTTTATTGATTATTTAGCTTGTAACACATTTAACAGGATCCCACCAGCTGTCTGACAGGTGATCCAAACCGATCACAGCTTATCGAACCAGATCAGAAGGAGGTGGGGCTTCAGTCAGAGACTCTAGTGTTGAAACATTCGGCTCCACAATCACCAATCAATCATCAATACCAAACTTTATTGATCAGAACATAACAGCAGAGACAACTAAACGTTTTAGCTCCATTTTATGAAACTTTTTGTGCTGGTGCGGAGCTGGAGTTCATGATGGGGCGGGCTCAGATGTTCAGGACATGGGTTTGGTACTGGGCCGGATCTTCATCTCAGTGAACTGCAGCGAGTACTGCCAGCCCGTCCAGCTGGACCACTCCACTCCATCAGCATAGGAGGCGTGGCCTCCTCTCAGGTACTGCCCGTTCAGGTTGGAGGTGTGGCAGTTCCGGTACCACCACGCCCCCTGGTAGTACGCTGCACAGTTGTTCTCCGACTGGTCCTGGTCCCGGTCTTTGGTGGTGAACCGCATCCCAGAGTGCTTCAGGAGGGAGTCACCTGCAGAGCAAAGACACGCCTGCTGCTAGTACTGTGTAGTACTGTGTGGTACTGAGTAGTACTGTGTGGTACTGAGTAGTACTGTGTAGTACTGAGTAGTACTGTGTAGTACTGAGTAGTACTGTGTAGTACTGAGTAGTACCTGCTGTCCCAGAGTACCCGTCCACCACCAGTGGGTATCCGTCCTCTTCAGGGTTCACGGAGTCTCGGCCAACAGAGAAATCAGAGTAATGAGCAAATGCTGTGGCGTTATCGAAGTCCGACATGTCGATGCGCAACTCGACCCCACCAGACCTGGTGAGGGAGTAGATCCTCTGCAGACCTGAGACCAGGACAGACAGACAGACAGACAGACAGACAGACAGCCTTCACTCAGATGGTTTTAAATATTAAGGATGAAATGCTTTTCTCTATCCATATCTCAGCTTGAAGCTGTGTGTCCATCAGTGTCTCTCAGACCCAGCCAGTGTTCTCCGGTGGTCGTCCCGAAGCCGTCTCTGTAGGCGTCCCATCCTCTGAAGAAGTTCACGGATCCGTCCTCCCTCCTCTGGAACACCTGCAGCACAACACAGTCCTGTTAGCCTCCCTGTAGTTCTACTGAGTGCGGCTCGTGGTCCTTCACTGAGGTTCATGTTTCACTAAAGTCCTGCAGCTCTGTGGAACCAGAACATGAAGGAGGAGAGAGAACTCAGAGACCTCAGTCAGAACCATGGAAATTTAAAGGAAACAATTCTTGGATGATAAAATTTACAAAGATGTCAAATCCTCGACTCAGCATGTTCCCAGTGTCTCAGTGTGTCTGTACCGTCCAGCCTCCTCCGTCGGTGCTCATGTCGCAGTAAACCATGAAGCCGTCGGGGTCGTGGGTTGGAAACACTGAATAAACTCCGTCCTGCGAGACGCCGGAGGCCTGGATGTCGCTGCAGTCTCTGGGTCTGAGAGCTGAAGGACACAAACCAACACAAGCTGTCTGTTCATTCTGCATGTGTGTCGCTACAGAACATCCTGCAGCCCAGATACACTTCACCTGCTGCTGCTGCTGCTGCTGTAAAGCTGCTACAGGTGTGCTTTATTTCAGCTACTCAAATGCACCTGCAACACTCTGTGTCCACAACCAGTTACACTCAGAACCTCAACGACTAAAAGGCCCATTAAACCCATTAAAACTGCTGCTTTTGATCTTCCAGCATTCTGTCCTATCAGGTTTCATTCTGGAGCTTTGGATTCAAAACCAACATGTCTACTGTTTTCCAACAGATTGTCCCACTGTGTCGTATGTAGTCTGTTGTCCAGCAGCTCAGTGGGATCCATGTGTGGAACTGAAACGGTTTCAGAGTGAAACTCCAACAGCAACAAAAAATCCTGTTTACCGTTTCAACACAGAACAAGTCCCTTAAACCTGTAGCAACGTGTAAATAAACTGACCTATTAAAGGGTTAAAATCCTGGAGATGAAGGAATATTAGTGGTTCTGATCCGACCTGGTGCTGTGAAGGAGGAAATAACATGAGCTCAGTGTGAACTCTGCTGTCTGTGCAGCTGCTGCAGGGAGCCGGAGGACTGGAGACCAAATATGAAGAGAAGTGAGCCGGTCGGGGGTTTGCTGCAGATCTGGGTCAGTCCGTTCAGTCGGGATTACTTGAGTGAACGAGGCTCCTGCTGAGACTCTGCAGCTCCAAAACGGTCCAGACTCCAGCTGACCACTGAGCTGCTGTTAAACATCCTGGATGTGACAGGTAGACGTGCTTCCAGCTGATCAGAGACTGAACAGCTCAGAGCGCCCTCTGCTGCCACATCCAGGTTCATCCAGCTTCCCTGTGCTGCTCTGAGCGCTACCTGACCTCACCTGGCCACATAATTCACATCCTTTGAAAGTACATTTATTCGGTTGAAATTAAATCCACTTGCTCTGAAACAGTTTGACCTTCACGGAAAAATCCAACTTTCTGTTAACGTCCATATTCAGTTTGTGTGATTCCATTTAGACGTCTAACCGCTATAGGGTTCGTTTATCGAACCAGCAGGAGCAAATGATTCAAATACAGTTTACTGTTA